AAAAAAAAAAAAAAAAAAAAAAAAAAAAAAAAAAAAAAAAAAAAAAAAAAAAAAATAAAAAAAAAAAAATAAAAAATACATTTACATAAGAAAAGAAAAAAAAATGGAACATAATTCATCTTCTGAAAGGAGGAATGGTCGTCCCTCACGGCGGATTAAGCAACCGCTCCGAGATGACATGGCCCCAAAGCCCGTGCATCCGCGTGCCGTCAGATTCCACGGGCTATTTGGTGAGAATCTCGTGCGTCAGCATTGCATAGTGGACGATCGATGGACTCCCGACTCGTTATGCAGCCAGTTTTCTGGCATGGCCGATTTGCTGGGTGTGTGAGCAATACATAAATATATATTTGTACCGAGGGCTTAGCCATTGTTTCTGCTCTAGCCCGCTTTGCGATCTTCAAGCGACACGAGATAAAAGCCAATCGACTGCGGGCCATCCAAGAGAGCAAGCGACTCAAGTCACAATGCCGCGACGGTGGCGCCAAGCTGCGGAACATTATCTCCGTGGACAATACGATTGCCGTGCGGAACCTACTGATCGCGTACAAGGACATGCAGCGTCTCTACCAAAAGATGCCCATCCATCTCGTCGCAGACAACATCAATCAGCGCACGTTTGTCCTGCGCAAGGAACGCGATCGTCTCCAGTACCGACTAAATCAGCTGAAGGTCGATTACAGGCAAAAGCTGGTGAGTCAGTGGGTATGCATTATAAAATATATAATATAATACAAAATATGCAGATGCATCGTGCGGTACTGGAAAATCATATAAAATATCAGAATGAGTTCGAGCTTGCGGAGGACGTCAAGTCACGTGAATTCATGAAAAGAGTGGAGAACTCGCAGGTGCGCTTGAAGGCGATCAAGGCCATCAACATAGCATATATGAAAATGGTGCAAGTGCTGTCCAATGATGCCATATACTATGAGCCCATACTGCGTTCCCTCAGCGACGATATGGAAGATCAGGCGACATTTATTAACCACATAATCTATCTGGGCACGCCGGCTATAGCCAGGTATAAGGAACTCAATCAGGAGTACCGCCAGCTGGACGATAAGTCTCGCAGGAACGTACAGGATCATCAGAGCAAGCTGGGATTGCTGAAGAAAACCTCTCGCGACACAATGGAGCTATTTAAACGCAAAAAGACTGGCAGGAAGCTCGACGAAGTGGTAATCCGGAATCATTACGTGCGGGAGACGCACGGCATGTTATTGCTCAAGAACGTAAACAAGGTAATCGAGAAGGTTATCAGGGATCTCAAATTTGGTACACTGTGCTCCCAAGCCAGGGAAATATATCCTCGGTAAGAGAGAGAGAGGAACCTTTAAGTATTTCGTAAGTAAACTTCTGGTTTTGCAGGATGAGGAGCGGCATTGAGTGGAACCACAAGATGTTAGAGGTCGCCGAGTTACAAGGAATAGGTCGATATAACCTTGAGGACAGAAAGACATACGCCATGGTGTTAAAATCTCTACTAGCCAATAATCTAGGCAGCGAGGAAGTCGAGTATGTTCCTCATCGAATTTACGCATCAACTTAAATAATTGCCTTATAATTGAAATGTCTTACAGGCGGCTCGAAAAAATTAAGGAGTTGAAAACGGAGTTGGCAACGGAAGAAAGCCAAGAGCAAGACACCTTGAGATATATGCAAGCTCGTGGCGATGTGTTCAATATGTTTCGGTATTTCTGTCTTTGCATACAAAAATATAATATGATTTTTTATCTAAATATGTATTCAGGTGGACCCTTTGGCATCTTTATGAAGTATTAACCAATGTAGATCGTAATCCCAGAATACTAAAACAGAAGTATCCGAATTCGTATCTGAATTTGCCTCTCCTTAAATTCGAGCTGCTTAATATGTATGCCCAGCCACCTGATCTATTCCCCGTAGACAGTAAGTTGATCAATTGGTTTGTACCACTTTTTTTTTAATTCTATTTCCATCACAAACAGTCGAAGAAATTATGAGTGTGCTCAAGCGCAAGATCTTTAAGCTGACAAAGGCCTATACATGGGAAATGGAACCGCAAATACCTAGCAGTGTAGACAAGTATCATGCAGATTATATGGAGACCTGTGATAAAGTTAAGGACTCGTCGGAAGATCAGGAGCAATCGGCTGTTCCTAACGAGGTATTATTAAAGGAGAAGACCCTGTACAACATACCGAGTCGCAAACAGATCAAGGTGCTGAGTACCAAAGTTATTGATCAAGCAATCAAAATATACAATACATAGACTACATATACTATTTATTGATCAATAAACAAAAAACAGCATACAACAGAGTTTCAAGTCTTCTGATAAATCAAATATAACCGTCACACATATATATAGGGATATGTGATATCTTTTCTTATAGCATTCCAATTTTCATTCAAATTCAATTGGATATATTTGATATTTCACTAATAATTTAGAAGTAAATTATTGTACGTTATGTGCAAGATTTTATCATACAGGTCCTTAACTCACATTATTGAATAAAATATGAGAACACAATTAAGAAAGTTCCATAGACTGCTCGACTACGAGATGTCCTGAATCCTTCGAGGGTCCTCTAATAAACCTGTTAAAAATGAGTATGCCATGGAACGGCAAGATATAGAGAACTATAGAACGGAAGAGCAACTGCTGTCCATGCCATCTAATAATTATTAAGATTAATGGACATAACTTCTTATTTGGCGTATCAATGTTTGGCATTAACAACAATACAGATTGCTTGTGCACCACGGTAGGGTAAGCCGATTTAACTTAGAGCTTTCGTATATCTGTATGTTTGTATGTATATCTGTCTCATTGTCTGCCTAAGAAAGGCAATTTATGAAGATTATTTAAATTGTCTATATGCATTCAGAACTATTTGTTTGGTATTTATATATCAGTAGAACGAAGCCAGACTGCTTGCAGAGATTGTTCTCATTGGTAGCTTAAAGGTGGACTACAACGATCTCTACCTGGTGTTGGGCTCAACATTTGAGAGAAACATAGCGTATGAGTGAAAGTTGACCTATATAAAGGGCAGCAGGTGCAGCATTTCTTTAGTCGCCCAGGCCTAGTGGGTGTCAGTCGTACAGTGTTGTAAAGTGAGGTGACGTGTGTGCAAATATTTAATGATCGTTCAGAACTGGGGGAAATACGTTGAGGAAAATATAGACGAAATACGTAAAAGAAAATACGTAAAAAATACGTAAGAGAAATACGTAAAAATATATGTAAAAGAATTACGTAAATACGATCACGTTGATGGCATACGTAAAGGAACTTGTAGTGGAAATGTATAAAGGAAATACGTAGAGGAAATATGTAAAGAAGTACGCAAAGGAAACATGTAAAGAAAATATGTAGACCAAATAAGCAGAGGAAATTCGTAAAAGAAATACTTTGGAAAAATACATGTTATATTAAAAATCCAAAGATCGGGCGATGCTTGCCCACGACTAATTATAGATGCAAATTTGAAATTTAAATTTAAATGAATTATGACAGTAGCATTATTATTTACATATTTGGTTATTATACTCGTTCACTTTGCGAGTAAGTATGTTGGCTCTGTGCGATGTTTGTGATTAAGTCCACATGAGCGCAAACCACTTCTGCGCTTCAATAGCGAACTCCTAACATTTTGAATATACACTCGTATACTCGTTTTCTGAAATGCCAAAGATCTCCCGATAAGTCCACTGTGGGCGCAAAATACGATATCTGGCACTTAGGCCATACATATATAGGGATATCTAATCAACTTTCATCTTAGAAAGGCGTGGCATATGGAACAAGCGTGAGTAGCATCGCCCGACCTAAATGAATACTAGATTTACAATATTTTTGTTTGATCAATATAGGTTGCCAATGGAATTGCCCTCATTACATTTATTCAGATTATGTTTGTTTATTGTTCAATTGTTAAATACACTTAATTTTTTTTTTTTTTTTATAATAAAAACACTTACATTAAAAAAACACACACCCACACTTACTATGTCTTGTTTTAAGCGCGAGAAGAGCCTGACGTGCTCGACCCGTCGCACCAAGTGGACTGATCGGGATCCTCTGGCGCCGAAGCCCGTCCATCCGCAGGCCTTGCGGTTCCATGGACTCTTCGGCATGTCCTATGTGCGTCAGCACGTGATGGTGGACGATCGTTGGACGCCGGGGTCGTTGACCGAGGAATATGGTGGCATGGTCGATTTGCTAGGCAAGTGAAATAGAGAGATTTTCCTATATATATATATATACTGAATATTACGTATACGGTATACCTCGTCCTTTAGCGCGTCGTGCCGAGTTTAAGCAGCACGAGACGAAAGCAAATCGTCAGCGCTACGTTTTGGAGAGTAAACGCCTCAAGATACAGTGCCGCGATGGTCGGATCAAGCTGCAGAATATCCGGGTCGGGGACTGCACCCACAAGATTCGCAATTTGCTGGACCGCCACAAGGACATGCAGCGCCTATACCAGAGAATGCCCGTAGATCAGGTGGTGGACAACATCAACCAGCGCACCTTCGTCATGCGCAAGGAGCGCGATCGCCTGGAGTGTCGACTGGGCCAGCTGAAGAAGGAATACAAGCAGAAACTAGTATAAGGCACTCTCAATTCAGTGATATCACATTCATATTGCTCTTTGCAGCTGAATCGCGCCTTGCTAGAGAATCGCATCAAATACCAGAACGAATATGTGATTGACGAGGAGGTCAAGTCACGCGACTTCATCAAAAAGATCGAGAACTCGAATGTGCGCCTAAAGGCCGTTAAGGCCATCAATAGCACATACCTGAAGATGATACAGGTGCTCCGGCACGATGCCATATTCTACGAGCCCATACTGCGATCCCTCAACGGCGACATGGAGGACCAGTCAAATTTCATAAAGCACATACTCTACTTGGGAATGCCGGCTATAGCCAAATTTAAGGAACTCAATCAGGAGTACCGCCAGCTGGAGGATAAGTCGCGGAAGAACGTGCAGGAGAAACTGCAAATGATAGCCTCCCTTATGAGCATTCGACCCACCACCCCCGTCGTGTTGACATCGCATGCCAGGCCCAAGGTGGAGATTCCACCCAGCGCCAATCCCAAGCGTTTCATGAGGGAGACGCGCAGCATGGTGGTGCTGAAGCTGGTACTGAAATCCGTCGAGAAGACCATCGAGGAAATCAAGTTTGTGACCCTGTGCTCCCAGGCCAGGGAAATCTATCCGCGGTAAGTATTATTCCCTATTCGCCTAGTTCAGGACGTGAGGCCTTTGCTCATTTGAGTTGAAAAGAATATTATCTTTGGGGTAAAATAAGATATTTTGCACATTGAAAAAGATTTCTACTGAGAATTGTTCGTGCTCTGCTTTGAAATGAATTTATGCACAGGGTGCTTCACAGTTTTGTGATAAAGAGAAAAAAATGGGATTTCTTTTAATATTTTTTTTTCTTTTTGAAGAGAAATTATAAAATATATTTATATACAGCTTAGCGCACCGCTACCTTATTGATAACTTAATCTAAACAGAATTACAATAATTTATCTACTTAAAAGCTATATTAATATTAATATTATATATGGAGATATTTATTGTTATTTATGTACATATAATTCTGACAAATTTGGAGGTGTTTATTTTTATAGTAGTTAATTTTATAACAAATTTTCATCTGATTTTGTGTTTGTTTTTGAATATAGAAAATCGCACGCATAAATTGGGACAGACAAATTAATATGAATATTAAATTAATATTTTAAATGAAAATAACATAAATATATTATTATTATTATTATTATTTTTAATTTGCAATATTTTTTAATTTAAGTCATACACACTTTTTGGTGTTAACTAATTTAAATATCCGGCTGGTTTGAGTGAGCTCAATCTATATGACTATATGGATTGTTAGCTATAATTCAATGAGACCAAGCTCTTATTAAAACAAGTTGGTTGCGACAATAATATTTACTTTATATCGCTTTCTACTTGACAAGTCGGAAAGTGGACCCTAATTGACGTTGTTCTAAGCGTTTTAGACTGGTTATGCTCTAGAATTTCAATAATTGTGCATATGCCTAAAAGAGACATATTTTATAGTAAAGTTTGTATTGTATATGCTGTCTTCAATTAAGCCAGATATTTCTCCGTTTCGCCGGATGGAATGACGAAAAAATTGAGCGTAGCCTCGAATATAGCCATTCCATTACCATTCATAATTTATTTAAGCCATACGTCAATGTGACTATGAGATATCTGTTTTCTAGAAAATTTGCAGTTGTTATCACTGACACTTATCAGTTGATTCTATATGTAGGGCAGGCGCCTGATACTTTGCTGTAAGTTGTTGCTTGATGACTTTTGTGTGATTTGTTTTGACTTTTCTATTTCTGTACTCTGTGAGAGTTTGATAGCCAGAGAGTTAGTTAGCAAGTTGAGTTGAACCATTTGCTTGCAGCATGAAGTGCCAGGTGGACAACAATGATAAGCTGCATCGGATTATCGAGTGCGATATGTTGGCCCACGAGATGCTCGAGACCAAGATGAAGTGCGCCAATGTGTTGAAGGGCGTGCTCATGAACAATTTATCTGAGGAGGAAATTAAGTGAGCAAATGCTGCTTACAATGTGAATTCCAATTAGTTTCAATCCTTTTTAATAGCCGCATGGAGCTCTTGAAGGACTTGCGCAAAACTTACGCCGAAGAATTGGTGAAAGAGCAGGAGATGCTAGGATATCTGAAGAATCGGGGCGATGCATTTGTCATGTTGCGGTAAGCGGGAAACGCTATACATACATATTTCTCTAATATATGTTAAAACTCTGGTCAAGGGCCCTATTCCCAGCTCTATTTATTAATCATTCCGTTCCCTTGCAGCGTCAGCATTTGGAATATGATTGAGATCCTGCGACACGTGGATCGCCAGCCAAAGCTGTTGCGTTCCCAGTATCCGAATTCGTACTTGAAATTGCCGCTTCTGAAATTCGAAATGCTCAATGTTCGCTCAGCGGCGCCAGAGATTTACGAGGAGAACAGTTGAGTATTAGATCAAAGAGTATTTCTATTGTCAGATCATAGCAAATTTGATTTCCTCACAGTCGATGTTGTGATGCACCTCCTGAAGCGCAAACTGTATAAGCTGATGAAATCTTATCTGATGGAAATGAAACCGGCTCTGATAGCTCGCAACAGGGAGGAGTATCACGCCGATTTCCTGGCTAGCCACAACATGTACGAGCAGGTAAATGAGAATGCGCAGCAGATTGAGCCCCTTGATGACAATGATATGCTCGTCGAGAACAAGACGCAGGCCAATGTGCCCTGCCGCAAGTACATTAAGATGCAGAGCGCCAAGTTCCTGGAGGAGCTGGCCAAGCGCGACTAATAGAGCTCGCACACTTCTCTCGCTATTTATTTTATTTAACACAAATTTTAAGTTTCTGGCCCTATTTGGAGATAAGTTGCCCAAAATTTCTTACAGTGGCGCATACACTTTTAGCTGCAGTGGAATGCAATGAATTTCGTTCATAATAAAGAGCAACGTAGAGAAGGAGCAAAATCCAAACACACTGAGGGGGAGGTAAATAACTGGATAAATCGTGAGCAGCATTTGGACAATCGTCAGCCAAACAATGGAGGCGCCGAGGCTATGATGATGTCTGCAGAAGCCGCTAGTTAACTTTATATAATTGATCCAAAATTGCTGCAAACAGTCGCCGTGGCTGGGATCTCGTCGCCTCAACTTTGGCTTTTGGCTGCGAAATGCGACGCCCTCCAGTTGAGCTAACAGAAGTCGCCACAATTGTGGCCAGAATTGCCACACAGGGCAATTGTGTGGACAGGCTAGAGTCTTCCCGTTTTATTTATGAGCTGTAGATGGGTTGATAGCCATATCGGTTCTTCGTAGTCGCATCTATTGTGCTCGAGTTCAATGACACTTGCCTGCTAAAGACTTAAGCTAAATTCATTCATTTGGCTTTCAGCTATTAATAGGGGCCATAAATCATTTCCTCTGGATTCGATTCGATAATGCAATTTCCTCTGCATAGAAAAGAAACCTCCAAAATCTATTGTGAATACTGAAATCAGACAAAAAATTAGTAACAAAATTTAAATTTAACAACTTTATTAAGACAAAACAAGTAAGAAAGCTCTAGTCGAGACTGCTCGACTACGAGATCCCCTGA